AAAAAAAAAAAAAAAAAAAAAAGCCTGGACCTACTTGAAAGCGATGATGTTAGGGTGCTTCAACTTCCTCAAATGCTTGATATCCGTCTCATTCTGTTCTCTTACTTTCTTGATGGCCACTTCTTCCGCTCGGAACTTGCCCAGGAAGACAGCTCCTTGGGCGCCACTACCAAGCCACTGCAGCTCTGAGATCTCCTCAAATGGCACTTCCCAAGTATCTAGGCACACAAGTGAGAAGCAAGCTTAAAGAGACCTGAGAATTTGCTCAGGGTTCATTCGAAGAGGCCATGCCCAAAGTACCAACCTCACCACTGCCCAAAAGTGACCTCTACCTTTTTCTCTCTGGTAACTCACCCAAAGATTAAGCCTTTCTATGAACCCTGATACTATAGATCTGATACACACACATATTAGTTTGTATCACATTTTAATGAGTGAAATCCAGCAGATCAAAGATCTTTAATATGCTCTCCTCCAAAAAAAACATATCCTGGTACCCCTACAGTTCCATCTCCTCACTTTAAACTTGCATGTTTAATCAATTCACCTGTCTGGATACCATTGTCCCTGACCCCATCACCCAAAGTAAATGTTGTTTTATCTCTCTTTGAATTGCTACTGCAGACGCTCAATCCTTGCTGAGTGAATTTTCTTTTCTTTTTTTCTTTAAGATTTAATTTTATTGATGCATACAAGAACTGGGGTGTAGGCAGGGAGGTGAGAAGATTCACCAGAGACAGAGTGAGGAGCGAAACAGGTGAGCCTAACTGAAATACACTGCTGAGGTGAGCAGAGGGTGAGACAGGAGAGGTCTTCTGTGGGTTAGGCCCCAGGCTGGCATTAAACTCAAGCTTCAGTGGCTGGCAATAACTTGATAGTGCTGACTTTAACCAGGGAGGCCCTTGAGTAACTTTTCAATGATATTCTCTTAGGACCTGAGTGTATACAACATTTACATCACTATTTACCTTCACTGTGTGCCAGACACTAACAGCATAGTGCTTTACATCACTCATCTGTTTAATTCTTACCAAAATCTTATATGTCTGCCTTTACTGTGGTTATTTAAAAGTAAAAAAATTAAGGCTTAGGTTGGATAAGTAATTTATCCAAGATGATACAGACGTCAAGATTCAGAGCTACAGACCAGCTGATAGCAGGCTGTGTGTACTATACCGCAGTGCCTCTCGTGAAGTATAGACATACAAATTTCTCTTCGAGCTTGATTTTTTTTGCACCAAAATTTTAACAGGGGTCACGTCTAACTGGTGGCATAATTGATGATTGAGATTATGTTTATTATCCTTTTCAGTATTTAGTATTTTTTATCATGTCTATATCACTTTTATAGTGATTAAAATGCTAATTTAAAGCCTATCAGAAATTCAATCAGCATATGATTTAAAATCACTAAATATGGCAAACAAATTAAGCCTCAAGCAATAGAGGATTGTTTAAGTAAATATTGACACATTCATACAATATAACATTATGTAGCTATTGAAAATGGTGCTGAAGTATATTTTACTATATGAGGAGTGTTCACAATATAAAGTGAAAAAGTGTTACAAAATAGCCTGAGTCTTTTTAAAAAACATATCACACATACAAATCGGGTACAATATACAACAAAAACATTAATGGTGGCTATTTTCAGGAAACCGAGGATCATAGGTTATTTTAAATTAAGGGAGAACTTATCTGCATATTCCAGATCTTCTATGTTTTCTATATATGTTACTTCTCTATATATTACTGTACATAGTAGGAAAAAAATGTTCTTTTAAGGACTATAAATGAAGTTATGCAAGACTCCATGGCTACATTTTTCTCTTAACTTCAAAATCATTATGTTTGAATTGAAAAAAAATAACATGAAAATATGTTACACATGATGGGAGTTAAAAATTGATTATTTATAAAGCTGTGGGGTCTAGAATAACAATGCTTCCCTGAAGATTGATTATGCATTTTTCTTTCCTCAAAGTGTGAGATTTCTGTGCTTGCTGTAAGAAAATGATGCCTTTTTAGCTCTAACCTAAGGTAAGTTTACCATGTTCAAGGGCAATGTTCTATGGCTTCTACCTGGTTTTGAATTAATCCAATGGCCATCTGGCTTTTAATTGTATAAACTTTTAGTTAAAAAGTTTTAAACCTGCACCTGCTCTATGATTTATTTATAAATTATATATCTTCACAACTTTAATAAAATACCAAATATATGTGAAGACCCTGCATGGAAAAAAAAAATTTCAATTTCCTCATAGCCTTTGTCTTGTATGTACTTTATTTTTGACATCAGCAGACAAGACAACCACAAAAGATAAGCTTCAACCCAAAAAGATGCAGTAAATGTGATTATGTTCCATTCGCAGGTCAGCAGGAAGTTGGTGGGGGTATTCATTGGGCACTAGTTCTTTAACTTACTCACAGGTCACAGGTAAACCCATTAACAGAGGACATACCTCCCAGGTCCCTGCTCTAGCTTACCTTGCTGTTGCAATTTGTAATCAGTGGAATATGCCTTCCCAATGATATTCCACACTGGTCTTAAGCAGCCAAACAGTCCTTCGAGAAACCCACCACTGCCACTGCCCGACCTGCTGAACTGAATCTTGATGTCTTCAGTTCCACTTGTGCTCTCCACATCCACTGTGTTGCTGTTCCCCTGAGACACGGCCATTTCTGATTCATCTTGTTCCCGTAGTTGAAGAACACTGTTCTCAAACTGGTCCCTGGAGTCCTCACTTACGCTGGTCAACACAGTGGTGGCGATGGGGCTGTTCATGGTCTCAGTTGGCTCTGTTGGCACCACCCCCTTCTCCTGCTGGTCCTTAAGGAACTGGGGTGCAGGGTGGCTCCCCATAGGTGAGAGTTCATCTTGTAGTCCATTGAAGGTTCTGTTTTCACTCAAGGGCAGGTGTGGCGAGGAGGAGCAGCTCAGGTGCTCCTGAGGGTCAGCCATCGTGCCATGAGTGTGCCCAGCGTCCTGAGGTGGCACTCAGAGGGGTGAGGGGACAGAGTTTGGATGGAAGAGAGGGCTCCAAAACCTGGGGGAACAGGAGGACGACATGAAATCACTCTCTTCTTAGTTATCCACACGACCACACTTGTTTATAATAACCAGAACATTGCAGTAACAGACACCAGTTAAATGGGGGTGTGGAGGGCTCTCCCTGGTGGCGCAAGGGGTTAAAGCACTGCATTATGAAGCTCTAAGCCACTGCAGCATGAGTTCAATCCCCTGCCAGGGAGCTGACCCACATGGTGTGGCAGATGTCTCCTGACCCGCCCACTGCTCCCCTCAGCAGTGTATTGCAGTAGGTCTGCCTATCGTGCTCTCCACTCTGTCTCTGGTGAATCTTTTTACCCACCACACCTCTGGCCTGTATCCCAGTTCTGTAAGCATAAATAAATAAATCTTAAAAAAAAAAATGGGGCGTGGTGCCACATGATGGAGTATATACAGCAGTCAAAAATCATGTTGCTAAGATGAGAAAGTGTTTGTGCCATGTAAATATATATATATATATATATGGGTTAATTTTATAACCAGAATAATTTATACAATATCAACTTTTTCATTTTTTATTCAAGGGGATACACGCACATACATGCAAGAAAAAAGACTGGAAGCATTCATCTAAAGAATTAACAATAGCTAGTTTAGGGTGGTTACATTATTTTTTTCAAGTTATTCCAAACATTCCACATGAATATGTTGTTATAGACTGAGTGCGTGTGAAAATGCAATCTGCATTGTGATGACATTTGGAGAGGGAAGTTTTAGAAAGTACTTAGTGGTCTTGTACAAGAGACCCCAAAGAGCTCCCTTACCTCTTCTACCAAGTGAAGGCACAGTGAGAAAATGGCTAGCCACAGTGAGAATTGGGTAGCCAGCTGGTGATGTTGGGGTGCCCAGCCTCCAGAACTACAAGAAGTAAACTGCTTGAGCCATTTAGTCTATGGTATTTTTTGCTACAGCAGCCAAAGGTATATATCTTAATTTTATAACCAGAGTAAAACTGTTTCCCTTCTCAAAGGGAAATTAAGTGCCCTGATAATGCTTTAAATTAGAAACTGTATCCCGTATTATTATAAATTACTGGTTTGTAGGTTACATGTTTTTGTGTAGAGAAAGGTAAGACCAGAGAGAAGATCAGGGGCTAGATTGTAACGAGCGCTAAATGTGTTTTACCCTGAAAGTGATGGGGAGTCATAGTCACATACTGGAGATTATGGATAACAGTAAACTTAGCCTGTTTCATTAATTTTTTATCTTCATTACTTAGACCCAAATTTTAAGGACCAAAGACCTTGTATGAGTGAACCAAGGAAAATATTCTATCCTTTGATCTCTCATTTACTCACTTAAACATTTATTGAGCATCTATTAGGGATTAATGTATACTACATAGATTCCTACTTTAGGAACTTATGGTCTAGAGAAAAGACCGATAAATAATGACAATATGGGTAGACATGGCATATACAGAGTGGTAGGTGGCTCAGAAAATAAATACATATGTCTAGGACGCCACAGGGAAAACTTTGATTTGGAGGATGAACCAGGGGTCCCTAAGAGAATGAGACTAAACATTACAGGTAGTACAGAGGAGCAGCAGGTAGCAATTCTTATAAAAGATGGGAAAAGGTCAGAATATAGTAGATCTTATGACAAGCTAAAGCTTTTGGATTTTGTCCTCAAGACTACAGAAAGCCACTAAGCAATTTCAAGTGAGGGTGTCACTTGAAATTACAATTAGATCTACAATTCCAAATTGCATCTGTGTACACAGAAGTAGAAGGTTGAAGGGGAAAGACTGAAGGTCAAGGTATCAGTTAGGAGGAAGAGTTCAAATAAGAAATGATGAGGGGCCCTCCCTGGTGGCGCAGCGGGTTAAAGCACTGCACTAAGAAGCTAAAGCCACTTCCGCATGAGTTCGATTCCTGCCTGCCCTGGAGGTGACCACATGGCGCGGCAGACCTCTCCTGACCCGCCGCTGCTCCCCTCAGCAGTGTACTTCATTGATCTGCCTGTTCTGTTCCCCGCTCTGTCTGTGGTGAAGCCTCTCACCACCCCTGAGCCTCTGGCCTGTACCCCAGTTCTGTATGCACAAATAAATAAATCTTTAAAAAAAAAAAGAAATGATGAGGGCCTGAAGCAAGATAGTAGCAATGGCAATGAAGAGGAGGAGGGTAGATACCCCTTCTCTTAGTAAGAATTGGTAAGAGGTAGTGATTGGTTAGACATGGGGGCAGATGAAGAACAGGGAGAGAAGAGGCAAATATAGGGGCTCTGTAGCTCAAGAAGCATCAATAAAATACAAGTGTGAACCCAAGTTAAAAATGTATTTATTAAATATATGCTAGAGTCATGCCATGCATTGGGCTAGGTTCTGTGCATACAGATATAATTATTACTCCTTTAAATAATAAATAAAACAAAGTGTTTTACAATTTACAGAACCCCATTATATACTCAGTGATATGCTGATAAACCAACTGCCCAAGGGGAAAAAAAAAGCCTTAACAATTCAATTTGTAGTGTAGAAAATTGCCAATTTCTGTGGTATAAATACTCCCACCACGGTGGATTTCAAGCTAATAATAGTTAACAACCTGCTTGCAAAGTTAATAAATATCTGACAATTGGCTCTCACGACCTGCTGTATAATGCAACTCCAGCACCAGTTCTCACAGTAGTGTCACTCTTATTTTACTGAGAAGCAAGAAACTCTTCTAAGGTCATATGCCAGAATTAAACTGTCTGGTGAATTCTCTCACCCCTTCTCCCACTCCTGCACCTCTGACATATACCCCAGTTCTTGTATGCATAAATAAATACAAATAAATCATTTTTTTAAATCCTCTAACTCAAAATTCACATTCCCAAATTCCCTTGCCTTTGTAATTGTATGACAGCACCTTTTATACTAACCCATCGCTTTCTCATAATGCCTCACAGGTTAAAAAATTGCCTGTGGGGCCCTTCCGGTTGAGCATCAGGTTAGGACACAGCATTGCAAGCTAGCTGCTACCACTTCAGTGCAAGTTCGATCCCCAGCTTAGAGGTGGAGGTGACCCACATGGCCAGGCAGACCCCTCCTAACCTGCCTGCTGCTCCCCTCAGCAGTGTGCTTTGTGATCTGCCTGTGCTGCTCCCCTCTCTGTCTCTGGTGAATCCTCTCACCGCCCCTATAACTCTGGCTTGTACCCCAGTTCTGTAAGCACAAATACATAAATATTTAAAAAAGTTGCCTGTGATCTTGATCTAAACATTGATCCCCTGTGTAAGGAAGACAGAGCTTAGAATCATTATTCCTAATTCTCATAACATACCTAAGAAGAGGTATTTGCTAAAGGTTACAGAACCAGGATTAAATACCAGGTTATTTTTCAAAAGCCTAATCTCCCTCCTATCTCATGCAGACTCTGTAAGATATATTTCCTTCCTTCTAAAGCTTTTAAGCCACTTTAGAAGTTAATAATTACATTGCGAGAATTACCTTCGCCACATCCCCATGACACACAAGTCATATTCCTCAGAGTTAGAGAGAAGTGACAATGATAGGGGACAGGAGAAGCAAACGCCAGCTGGACGCAAGAGGGAGGAACTGAGATGAACCTCTGAAGGGAGGACACCTCTGAGCCTGACACAGGCTAGGACCTCCAGGAGGAGTAAGAGTATGAGCTGAGGCGGGAAGTAGACATGACCAAGGCATGTGTGAGAGGCTGGGTAACCCAGAAATAATAGCTGGCTAATGAAGGGGAGCAGCATGTAACAATGGTGACTCCTGTCTCATTTCATGAAGGCTCATGAGATGACACAGATGATGCCTTTCCTTTAATCAAGCTAGAGAGGTTACCTTAACTGCATGAGGTTGGATTAAGAGTGACCCAAATTCTAGGGTCTGGAAAAATTAAGGGGCTGGGAAGTGCCCAGGAATATAAAAGTGAGAGAACAAGAAAAAAGAAAAGCTAGCGTCCTTTGTTTAATCTTTGCTGAGTGACCCTCCTCCTCCTACCTCATGCTCCAGCACATCCCTTCTCTTCATCTTGTGCTCATCTCTAAGCATTGAACTTCCTGATCCCCTCATTTTGCTTTCTTCCTATCTCCTGCCACAACCTTGAGCTGCCCCTTGCCTTTCGCCTCTCCAGGCTCTGCCTGATCTTTTTTTTTGTAGACTTATTTTTTTTCTTTTTATGCCTATAAGAACTGGGGTAGAGGCCAGAGGTGTAGTGGGTGAGAGTACTCACCAGAGACAGAGTGGGGGCAGAACATCTGCCTGATTTCTTTTTTTTTTCTTAAAGATTTATTTATTTGTGTATACAGAACTGGGGTACAGGCCAGAGGTGCAGGGGCGGCGAGAGGATTCACCAGAGACAGAGTGGGGAGCAGAACAGGCAGATCAATGAAGCACACTGCTGAGGGGAGCAGCGGGTAGATCAGGAGAAGTCTGCTGTGCCATGTGGATCACCTGTGGGCTGGGGATCGAACTCATGCGGGAGTGGCTTTAGCTTCTTAGTAATGTGCTTCAACCCGCTGCACCACCAGGGAGGGCCTGCCCGATCTCTTTTAAGGTTGCTGACTTCACACTCCGACCTGGCTGCTGCCATATAGCACTTACAGCTGCTTTTGCCGCAGGACTCATAGTTATCCTAACCCAGCACTGGGCACAGATTCTGCAACCAGTTCACATCAAAGGAAGATAATGCAAGCACCCAATGCACACGTGAATTCCACACAAATATCTTTGTGTGCAATTTATTCTTTGAATCAAAGTAGTGGACACTGTATTAATTCCTGGTCAATTTCTACGTTGAGCAATTTTACTCTCAGTTCCTTCCTGATGATGTCACAGTGGACTGAGTCCATACACAAAAAGCTAGAAAAACATTTGTTAATTTTATAACCTGTTCCCATTTCAAAAAGAGTAAGGGTGCACATGAAGTGGTCTGTTCCCAGTGGCACTGGGATGAGTCTGAGAAAGAAAACTTCAGCACAGGTTTCATACTCAGTTTGATATTTAAGAGATCAAGGAATAAC